GTGTTACTGACAGTGATGTATCCACTTGTGTTACTGACAGTGTTGTACCCACTTGTGTTACTGACAGTGTTGTACCAACTTGTGTGACTGACAGTGTTGTATCCACTTTTGTTACTGAGTGTTGTACCCACTAGTGTTACTGACAGTGTTGTTTCCACTTGTGTTACAGACAGTGTTGTATCCAGTAGTGTTACTGACAGTGTTGTATCCACTTGTGTTGCTGACAGTGTTGTACCCACTTGTGTGACTGACAGTATTGTATTCACTTTTGTTACTGACAGTGTTGTCTCCACTTGTGTTACTGACGGTGTCGTATCCACTTGAGCTAATGACAGTGTTGTATCCACTTGTGTGACTGACAGTGTTGTATCCACTTGTGTTACTGACGGTGTTGTATCCACTTGTGTGACTGACAGTGGTGTACCCACCAGTGTAACTGACAGTGTTGTACCCACCAGTGTTACTGACAGTGATGTACCCACTAGTGTTACTGACTATGATGTACCCACTAGAGTTACTGACTGTGATGTATCCACCAGTGTTATTGACTGTGATGTACCCACCAGTGTTACTGACAGTGATGTATCCACCAGTGCTACTGACTGTGATGTATCCAGCAGAGTTACTGACTGTGATGTATCCACTTTTGTTACTGACAGTGATGTACCCACTAGTGTTACTGACTATGATGTACCCACCAGTGTTACTGACTGTGATGTATCCACCAGTGTTACTGACTGTGATGTATCCAGCAGAGTTACTGACAGTGATGTATCCACCAGTGCTACTGACTGTGATGTATCCAGCAGAGTTACTGACTGTGATGTATCCACCAGTGTTACTGACTGTGATGTATCCAGCAGAGTTACTGACAGTGATGTGTCCACGTCACGGAATTATGTTCGTATGGAACTGTGTTGCATACCATCATAAATTTTAAAAAGATGGCTAAATTCCAAATCATGAAAGATATTTTACAGTTCCTTAATAAGAGTGAAGATAATGTTACATAAATATACCCTTAACAAAAACGATCACACAAACAAAGCAACACCTCGGCAAGAAATCAACAACAATTAATAATTTTAAATATGAATCTATTTATTTCCATTTCAGTATTGATCTCCATAAACCTTTGCAATCATCAATTAGAATTAATAACAATTCTCTAACATATTTAACACGTACATCACAATTGTTCAATTTTCACATTTGTGTGTTCTTGCAAACCGCCCTGATTCAGGCATAAACTTTATGATACATTTACAAATAAACTATCTGTATCATCAAAAATTGGGAGGAGGTTAGGATGGGGTTGGGATCCTTAAAAAATCAGGCTGATGAACAATAAATAACTCCTTGGGCACAAAGGCTTGTTCTCAGTTCCCCCACTTTTTAAAATAAACATGGGGAGAAGAATGTTGTTTCTGAGTAGTATTCCGGGGTGGATTGTGATACCATCCTACACACTGAACCACCATCCACTCCAGGGCGGATAGTGATACCATCCTACACAATGAACCACCATCCACTCCAGGGTGGATAGTGATGCCATCCTACACAATGAACCACCATCCACTCCAGGGTGGATAGTAATACCATCCTACACACTGAACCACCATCCATTCCAGGGTGGATAGTGATGCCATCCTACACAATGAACCCCCATCCACTCCAGGGTGGATAGTGATACCATCCTACACAATGAACCACCATCCACTCCAGGGTGGATTGTGATGCCATCCTACACAATGAACCACCATCCACTCCAGGTTGGATAGTAATACCATCCTACACAATGAACCACCATCCACACCAGGGTGGATAGTGATACCATCCTACACAATGAACCACCATCCATATCAAAGGAGGATAGTGATACCATCCTACACAATGAACCACCATCCATTCCGGGGTGGTTAGTGATACCATCCTACACAATGAACCACAATCCATTCCAGGGGGGATAGTGATACCATCCTACACAATGAACCACCATCCATTCCAGGTTGGATTGTGATGCCATCCTTCACACTGAACCACCATCCATTCCAGGGTGGATAGTGATACCATCCTACACAATGAACCACCATCCATTCCAGGGTGGATAGTGATACCATCCTACACAATGAACCACCATCCATTCCAGGGTGGATAGTGATGCCATCCTACACAATGAACCACCATCCATTCGTGGGTTGATAGTGATACCATCCTATACAATGAACCACCATCCACTCCAGGGTGGATAGTGATGCCATCCTACACAATGAACCACCATCCATTCCAGGGTGGATAGTGATACCATCCTACACAATGAGTTGACCTAATGCTTGTACACATGGCAGTCAATCATACTACATATAAAAATATACATATATCTGCCGGGGTTAAATGAAAAATAAAAAGTCTCAAACAGGTAATAATAATTTAAGCACTCTACTTAACAACCGTATGAATATCACATCTTGATCCTACTGTTTGTATATACAATATTTCCCTGGATAGCATTCCCAGTCAGCTATGTTTGGTCCCCAGTTTTCACAGTTGTAGGTAACTTAGAGTTCATACATTGCATACAGCTACAGTTATGTGATTGCACAATGCACCAAATTTACAGTGTGCACATGGTGCATACATCGTCTGCTCACAGTGTGCACAACTGTTGGATTTAACAATCAGTCGCCCTGATGTGCACATATGTGTGATATGGAAAGATTGGTTGATCAATGTTACAGATTGAAACAAATCCAGAAGGCTCAAGTGAAATTAGGTATACATTGTATTAATATCAGATCTGTATATTTTGCAATTTATCTAATTCTTCAATGCATGTGACACATTATTACAATGCCTGTTAAACTGTTGATAATGGGGTTGTACTGTCAGGTGAAGTACTAGTGCAGGTACGTAATGAATTACACGGAGTTGAGCGCCAATCAGTGTTTATGCAGCGATGATTTGACATTTATCAAAACATGAACCTTCTCTGGCTTAATTAGGACTGTGACAGTCGTGAAGTAGGCGTCACGCTCTGCATGGAAATTTCAAACCTACTTCACGATTGACTAGATACAAGAAATGTACCCATTTCCTGGTAATTAATAGGTAACAGTTATAACTGGTAATTAACAGGTAATCATTATTATAACTGGTAATTAACAGGTAATAATCATTATAAGTGGTTATTAACAGGTAATAATCATTATAACTGGTAATTAACAGGCAATAATCATTATACCTGGTAATTAACAAGTAATAATATTTTTTTATAAATGGTAATTAACAGGCAATAATCATTATAACTGGTAATTTACAGGCAATAATCATTATAACTGGTAATTAACAAGTAATATTTTTTTTTTATAACTGGTAATTAACAGGTAATAATCATTATAACTGGTAATTAACAGGTTATCATTATTATAACTGGTAATTAACAGGTAATAATCATTGTAACTGGTAATTAACAGGTAATAATCATTATAAGTGGTAATTAACAGGCAATAATCATTATAAGTGGTAATTAACAGGTAATAATCATTATAAGTGGTAATTAACAAGTAATAATCATTATAAGTGGTAATTAACAGGTAATAATTTTCATAACTGGTATCTAACAGGTAATCATTTTTATAACTGATAATTACCGGTAACAGGTACTAATCATTATAAGTGGTAATTAACAGATAATAATTTTACTGGTAATTAACAGGTAATAATAATTATAACTGGTAACAGGCAAGGCTTCTTTGTTTACATTTTATCTGCGTGTTCAGTTTGTACATGTATATTAAGGTAATTTGAAAACAATTTTGCTACATGTACATGATAGTTATATCCATCACTGTGTACTGTGTAAAGATAACCATGTAAATCTGGCTGAAATATGGTAACATACTTAAATCATTAAAGATATAAGTTTAAATACAAAATTGCATTAATTCACAGGCCATTCCTAACATGTCAACCACGACAACTGTAAAACAACTGTGCAATAGCTATCGCACAATTGTGTGCACGCTATTATCGCACAGATTTACATCGTTTGCACATCATTCGCACGTACAAAATGTGCACACATCCTTTGCACAGCATGTAACGTTATGCAATCCCACAACTGTATAATTGTCAAAGTTTTCTGAAGTTCATACACAGTCATACAGTAAATTTTCAGAGTTGTAGCTTGCCTGAAGTTCATACATCCTCATACCACATGTAATTGTCAATGTCGTAGATTTGATACCTAAAACTGATACAATTCATACACATTCTATTTCTATCAATATAAAAGGAAAAGTCTGAAATATTTTTCTTTATATTATTGTGCAAATGTCTGCACTAGATGCATGAGTATTTACTAAAAAGTGAAATGATACAATAAGTAAGAAGTGATAATTATAAAATTTAACCATGAAACAATACTCTTACATCTATATTCTTCAATTAACTCTATGCATGTGTAAATTGAATTTAAGCAATTTTCTTCATATACCAAGAAATCAAAAGCAAAGGAATCTTATGATCAATGCCATAATTATAAATGAAGAAGGTTTCAAGCACATCATGAAGACCTAAATGTTTTCTGCAGGGTTAAATGTCAATCAATGTTTACCCATCAGAGTATCTAAAGTGATTGTGGCACATAATGAATTGTGGAGAGGGCATCACCCTCAATCTTCCCAGTCATCTTCTTCCTCAGACTCCTCTTCCTGTGGTTTGGGTGGAGGAGGGATCATAGAGGATATCTTATCCATGGCTCCACCATTGCTACTCCTGGCATCACTACCACTTGACCTGTCTGTGCCACCCGATGATTTTTCACCGGAGATACCCTTCCGTCTCATTTGTAGCCTGCTGAAGAGGTCAGACATAAGGTCCCCTCCTCCACCTCCTCCTTTGTCTTCCTTCTCCTCCTTTTTCTTTTTTTTCTTTTCCACTTTTCTTTCTTTACCGCTCGTCAGTCCTGCCTTCTTCATCCCACCTGCCTGTCTAATAGCATCCATGAGACTGGAGCGGCTATCACCAGAGTTAGTCACTACCTCTGGTACTCCCTGTGGAACCACACTGGGAGGTCCTGTGGGGGCATCTGCGGGGGCAGGAGGGGGAGGAGGAGGAGGAGGTGGTGGTGCCCCTGGAGGAGGTGGAGCGGGAGGTCCAGGAGGAGGAGGAGGCGGTGCTGGCGGCGGGGGTCCGGCCGGAGGTGGTGGTGGTGGTGGTGGAGGTGCACTGCCTCCTGGGGTTGCGGACATATCAGAAACATTTGGAACTTCAGTCTCTGGTATCACTGAAGGGAGTTCTGGCATGTTTCCTCCCATCACTGAAGGTGCTATAGACTGGATCTGGTCAGCAGTGTAGCACAGGTCATCAGCAACACCTACAACAGGTAAATACAGATAAGTTTGAGATATGTGATCATCACTTCACAATCTTCATCATACAAGAGATAACAAGAGGCCCAATGGGCCTGCATCGCTCACCTGGTATTAATCTCACAATTGTAACCTTAAAAGAGGTCTAAAATAAAGCTACAGGCAAAATATCAGCGTCTTGACTTAAAGTTTAAAGTAATTCAGAAAAATTTGGCAAAGGTCATTCATTTGAACAAACTTGGTAGCCCTTCATCCCAGCATGTTTCTGGCCAAATATCATCAAGAAACTATGAATTCCTACGTTCTTTGTACATAACCTGTTTTTTCTTTATTTTTGTTTATATTATGCTTTTCCATTATGAATTAACTACAATGTTGACGGTTGTTTCTCTTTTCACCCTGTACCATATCAATGTATACAAGCCACCATTTTACTGCCTTATTATTGTGCTACTTAATTTAGATAATGGGTAATTCCTTATTGCAACATAGAGTGGCTATTGGCATGTTTTACCTGGTTTGTCACACAAACGAACATTCATCTTTCAAACATACAAACTTTTTACACTGGCTTCTCAAAAATCTTAGAAATATAATATTCCAAGCTCACAGACTTGTCCCTAAACTTGGTATTCTGATTCACAAAATTAATTTATATAGCATTATCTTATCACTTTTATTAATCATTGCAGGAGATGTTGAATTAAACCCTGGCCCTGAACCGTTAAGTTCTTCTGATGCTTCTATTGCCCTGAAAACTCTGGATATTTTACATCTTAATATTCGTAGTATTAGAAACAAAATAGATGATTTGTACGCATTAGTTTCCGATTATGATATTTTGTGTTTTACAGAAACACACCTGGATGCAACCGTTACCAATAACGATCTACCTTTAAGTGATCATAGTCAAATCTATAGATCTGACAGAAATGCCTTTGGGGGAGGTGTAATGATATATATATCTGATTCAATTAGGGCCCAACGACGTACAGATCTTGAACATCATAACCTGGAAGCAATTTGGGTGCAAATTGATACACCAACTCTTAATATATTACTGTGCAATATATATCGTCCACCAAATGCACCCACCAGTTTTTGGGCTAACTTTGAATGGACAATTGAAAAATCACTTGAAATCAGCGATAATATCATAATTGTAGGTGATCTCAATTGTGACCTCACCGCTGCAACATTATCAAATCCTCTTGTAACCATATGTGAATCATTCAGCTTGTTAAATCTAATTACAGATCCAACTAGAGTCACTCAAGCAACATCTACCCTTAT